CGTAATAATACTTAAAAGTCAATTTGAACTTTAATACCATACCATAAAGTTTAAGTGTTAGTGGAAAGGTTCCGGGAAGGCAAACCAATTGAGTGACGTATAAATATTAATGTCAATATTTGTTAATAAAATTAACAAAAAAAAATATATGGCTAACGCTGGCTAATAACTTTTATATCTGTTTAAAAAGCACATAGCAATGAAGTACATAGCGAACTCGAGCGAAGCGAGGGTGAGCCGCTAGTATAATATATTATTACAACTAAATTTATACTATGATATAAATAAAATGTAATTAAAATGTAAAAAATAAAAATATTTCTCTTACCTATTTATTTTGTTTTAAAAAGTATTCATGTGAATCGTATCAAAAAATAAAAAAAAAGTTTGGAGGCGCCGGGTATCGATCCCGGTACCTCTCGCATGCTAAGCGAGCGCTCTACCATCTGAGCTACGCCCCCGATGTTAAAAGTTACGAATATGGTGTTACTATATTTATATCGGCCTTGAAGTCTAACCCATTCACTAAATTCTCACTTTCACATGCTTCATGCTAAATTGTCAAGGCTCTCGTACTATCTTTTCCTAACGTTTATCAAAACTTGTGTTATTTGTAAGAGCAATTGAAAGTATATGATTGTACTATGTAATTAAAATTATATATCTATTTTGTTTGGAGTAGTAGTTGAAAAAATATTAAAAAGATAATTATAGATAACGAATTTTTATGTCCATGACAAATGATTTGTTCCCAATAGATAAAATACAAACTTTCAACCCCTATTTCACCCCCTTCGGCCTTCAAGTTTCATTTTTGGAACAAAAAGCAGCCCATGTCCTTCTCCAAAGTCTATCCGTCTTTATACCAAAAAATTTCGTTTTTAGTTTAGCGGTTTAGGCTGAAAACATAACAGACAGACGCAACAGATATTGGATAATAATATGGCATGGATAATGTTACATAAATTATCTTACATGGAAGAGTTTATGGTAATTGGTAAATTGAAATTTAATGACAACTTCGTTTCTCACACTTTGTTGGTTTTTATTAGAAGTGATGATTAACATATTTCAGCGTTCCGTTTGCTGAATCTTTTACATTATTTTACGAAAAATGAACCTGTGACCTCTGTCTTGCTGATACAATAGACACAATGGCAATACGCCAAATGTTGTATTCAGGTGTTACTTTCTATACATATACTAAGTACCTAGTACTTTTTGCTTTCATTTCGTTACTTATTTGACTTAAAGCTTGCTCATCTATCCTTGGTATTTATAAAGTTTTCATAATTTACCTTCAATATTTCAAGTAATTGTATGTCAATAATCAACTGTAATCATACGTGACCTAACCCTGAATCTTACGCTGGTACGCAGTAATTTATATGCGGATAGACTTAAGTGGTTAAGCCGAAGGAAGTTCAATGTTGAGGCTAAAAGAAATATATATTATCTTATATACATATAATAAAATTCTAACTAAACCGAATCTGTACATTTAATATTTTTTGGAAAATCTTATTGAAATAGACATTATTATCCAGAGGCCGAATCTATAGATTTTAGAATTTTTGTGTTTATCTGTCTGTTACCACATCACAGAAAAACACTGGAGGGATTTTGATGAAATTTGGTATGATAGTAGCTGGTTATCCGGGTCAACATATAGAATACTTTTTACTGCGGGAAAATATATTCTCATCTCTGAGAAATCTATATTAAACGTTAAAACGTAAGTAGGGACAAACCCGAGCGGAGCAAGGGTGAGTTGCTAGTGTTTACTATAATGGGGTGTTTAGATCTAATGACTATTGGCCGATTTCACCAACGTTACCTAAGTTCCCCTAAGATCCCCTAAGCATGATTATAGGGGGCTGTTAGGGGACAGTTTCTGTTTCACCGACAATTAGGGGTCACCTAAATGTTAAAATGCCACCTAAATATAGGTACTAGAAATACGGGCTCTGACGATGGTAAAACGAAATTTAATTTAGGGGCTAGTTTAGGGGAACTTTTAAGCTCCCCCCCAACGTGCGTTCACCTTGTTGTAAGAAACGCACAGGGAGGTTGCCCACTTCGGTGGGCGGTGGGAGGTGGCCCTCTTTGGGGGGCGGTGTACCATGCAGGTTGCTCCTGGTACTTCTCTGATAGCAGAGTGGACTGTGGAGCAACCCCATGGTTGTGGTGGTCTGCTTCGGCAGACCTGCCGTCGGGGCGTCGTAGTTGAATGCGTAAGCGATCCTGCGACGCCCCATTAAGACGGGGGAAGGTTTTGTTGGGTTTTAGTGGGTAGTACTGGCTGTATTACGCCGGTGAGTCCCACACGTCGTGCGTAAATGCATTTCCCAACGTTAAAAAAAATAAAAAAAGGGGAACTTTTAAGCTAGGGATCCCATACGTAGGTGGTAGCTTAAGTGATGTTGGTGAAATCGGGCATATGTGTACTAAATTTTCATATTATCGTATTAATTCTTCTTGAAATTATTAATTACCGTAGGTAAAAATTGTTCTCCTTATTGGTGGATATAAGATATTATTAGTAGCTGTTTCCGAAACTAACTAGTCTGTGGAGACTTTCATCTATGTACATATACCTTTATACACGGGCTAAATAGTAGCACAGATCATATAACACTATATGAGTACAGATGTCTCATCCCATACGAAGAAATTGGACAGTTAATTCGCAAATAGTTAACTGTTTTACATACTTTATAAATATGTGCAAACTAACGTATGGTAAACTAGCAGAACCCGCGGCTTCCCTCGCGTTAAAACTATAAAAAATATTTGAAAAGGTAGTTTCATATAAACTTTCATCCCCTATTTTACCCCCTTATAGAATGAAATTCGAAAAATGCTAAAACACGTATTTATTTAATTTTATTGAAGAGCATTATTACTAAATTTCAAGTAATTCTGATCATAAATATTTTTTTGGATTGTATTATATCGTGTTTTCCTGTGGGAATTAGATGATCTCCCACGGTAAAAAGCCTATGGCACTCTCCCGCCCTGCAATATCTCCACACAAAACATCTCCCCAATCCGTTTCTCCGTTTCGACGTGAAAGAAGGACAAACAAACAAACATACTTTCACATTTATAATATTAAGTATAGATATTGTAAAATTTATCCTGCATTCAAATAAAAAAGTTTCAGTGATTTTAACAATTTCGTAACCGTGATAAACTGTTTCTAAGAAGTAAAAGCGCCATCTGTGAATATACACTACAAACCCATCATCTGATTGTTGATATTTCAATTATCAGTAAAATTACGCAAGTTTGATTTACGGATGCATTATTTCGTTTCTCCTCACTTAGAATATTTTTTAAAACAATAATATACCTTTTCGGGATTTATTTTATTATCTTTTATTAATTACACAACTTTAATAACAAATCGATACATGTAACGCCATCTATTGACATTTATTTGAACTATTTTTTCTTTGTTCGTGATAAGACCCCATGATAGTAGTAACCATATCAGTTGAAAGTTAAATTGGGCGTGATGCCGATACTGCTCAACCGCTAATAGGGTTTCGTACAAACCGTAATACTTATATACATTCACATAGTGATTTTAGTCATACGCTTATGCAAAGTAAAAAATAATAAAATATCACGTAACAAAATAAATCACCTTCTCCTATTTTATTGATGAACACGTAGCATATTATGTTGTATATTATGTTACGTATATTATGTTTGTCTCACCGGAGTGTGAGAGAGAAAGGAATACACTTGTATCTGTGCGTATACTTGCGAGTCGTGCGAGCATTTTAGTCTCACTAGGATTGGCCGCCGTGGCCGAAATCGATCGCGAGGTTATTATTATTGTGTGATAGTATGAAACTTATTGATATTTTGTATGAAGATTTATTTTATATGACGACACGTTTGGCTCAGTTTGTAGTGACCCTACTTGCTGTGCCAGCGGTCGCGGGTTCAAGTCCGGCTGGGGGCATTCATTTGTGTGATAAGCACGAATGTTTGTACTCCAGTCATGGGTGTTTATATATATAATATGTATATATTAAAAAATATATATGTGTAGTGTATAAACTATCTGGTATCCATAACACAAGCCTCGTAGCTTACCATGGAACTAGTTGGTGCTGTGTGTTAATGTCCCAAAAAAATAAAAAAATTTAGTCCATAAACTTTTAACCTTACCATGTTTAACTATCAGACACACTTGGTAGGGCCCAATTAACCATGCCGGGGGCCTCTAGGCAATGCAATTCTCGGGGCCCTTTCACCCTTTTCTAACTTATTAAAATACATTTTTTGTAATTACGCTATTAGGTAGATTTCATGGAAATCAAATTTTTCGCCTATTTTTAATTTTTTTTAATTAAATTTTCACATATATTTTTTTCGCCGTGCGTGGAGCCCCTAGCAGATAGGCCCATAGTTAATAGTTGCCTAAACTGCCTTATGGATAATCCGGCCCTGACACTTTGTCATAGTAGGTTATTCGGAGACCTTAGCTTATCACGCTTTACTAGTCTTTCGTCATCAACTGCGCGTGCGACGTGACCAAACCTTATATGAACACGTTTTGTTGTTATATGATGAATGAAAGTAAAAGTATAATTTTATTAGAACGTGATATGTACTAATGAAAATTTCATATAAAAATGCTAATTGTATCAAATATTAAATTATACAAACGACATTTTATTAAATAGCGTGTCCTTGTTTTACTTAGGAATGGATTAGTGTGATTTTTTGCATGAAAATATTTAATGTGCTGGAAAACACACTACCTACCTTACGGTACTTTATGTTCCATACATCAAAATAAAAATTGGTCAAAAACTAAAAACGCGTCTTTAGTTACGACTACTTTTATAAATATAACAGGTTGTATGTATGTATATGTGTTACTTATTGTGTCTAATTATGTAAATAATATAAGGTAAATAATAGAAACATTTACGATTTAAATATTTTAATAACACAACAAAAAAATAGCTTTTCTATCAGTTTTCTCCTTCCAACGCCACCACTTGGACGCCCTTGCCAACCGCGTCGCCTTGCTTGAGCGCGGCCACGTCTGCCACGACGCCATCTCGCGGCGAGCGCACTACATACTCCATCTTCATTGCTATCACTACGAATAATGGCTGACCTTTCACCACCTAAATGAAAAGGAAAATATATTTTATTGTTAGATAGAAAATATATTTTGAATTTTGATATTTGTCATTAATTGAAATAAGATTTTTGGTTATTAATTAATAATTTTAAATAATCCAGTACCTATTGGTATATTTAGAACTATTGTCATTTCAATGATTAGTTTTAAACTACATATTCCACCGTTGCTGCGTTAAAGGTACTTTTGCTTTTTTTAATTTATATATAGAAAAATTTTGTTATTATGTACGATACTATGTCATTTATAAGTATTCTTTTTCAGTTTAAAGTCATTATTTTCATCAAATTAATAAATCGTTCCATTATTAATTATTTATAAGTGAAATAAAATGAAATGAAAAAGCAATTAAATTTGTACGAGTTTTGTGAATCCATCTGACCTAACGTTATAACTTATAGCCCTGTTTACATATTTTACATTTTAGGATTTGACACATATTTTTAACTAGCATCTTACCCTCGCTTCGCTTGGGTACGTCTGTAGGTACGTTTTAAATTTTTTGAGCGGAACCCTAAATCTTTTTCTAAAATATAAGTAGGCTATGTTACTCCTTATAACATCTGCCAGTGAAACTCCCGAAATCAGTCCAGCCGTTTTGGAGATTGGCCAGAACAAACAGACAGAATGAAAGACAAAAAAATTTAAAAGCTATGTTTTTATTAAAGGTAGCATGTAATATTCATATGCACTTATATATTTTTTTCATATGCATTTAGTAAAAACCTGTCATTACGACATTTACAAATGGGCACTTTAATTTTATTTATCTATATAAATTAAGGATACCTTAATTTATTAATGGATAGAACCATTAATGTGATAAGTGTTTCTATATTAATGAATATCATTAGTAGGTTACTAGAATTTTATTTATCATAATTGCACGTATTTTTTTTTGAGCGGAATTTTAATTCTTTTTCTAAAATAAAAGTAGCCATTTTACTCCTTATAACATCAGCTATCTGCCAGTAAAAGTCCCATCAAAATCCGTCCAGGTGTTTCTGAGATTCTCCGGAACAAACAGATAGACAGACAAAAAATTTAAAAATTGTGTTTTATATAATTTCATATACATTCAATAAAAAGCTGTTATTTTGACATTACAAACAGACACTTCAATTTTATTTATCTGTATAGATAATTTTATGAGCTACAGAATTCTTGAGCTATAATATATTAAAGCGTCGCGTCGATTGCCATTACTTGTTAGTGCCTTTATGTTAATAAAAATTAAAACTCTCTTATAAAAATAAATATATAAATATCTTGTCTTTCTTTCTATATGCTCGGACTTTCTCATGCTCTTTTCTGGTTTATATATTTTTTTTATATAACCATAACATATTTTGTATGTAATCTGTACAACCTTTTTAAAGCGCAATGAAGAATATTATATACCTTATCGCCTTTATTCACTAGTATTTTTTCTAAGACGCCTGGTGTTGGAGAGCAGGCGGTATCGGTCGAGGACGTACCGTCAGTGGTTAAGGCTTGATATTTGGGCCTCGGTAATTGTACAACCGTTTGGCCGTTCTGTAAAAAAAAATTGGATTAATAAAATAATTTAGGATGACATTTCCATGTTCTGATGAAAGTTATTTATCACCTATATCACACCTGAATGAATAAAAAAAGTAAAATCTATACTAATAAATGGAGAGCCGATTTTTTTGTTCAGTTATACTGCGATAACTACTGAACCGATCGGAATAATACTAGATGCAGCGTGTTTTGGAGAAGGTTTTAGTATATGATATGATTAATATATGATTAATGTACTATGCGGGCGGAAAATGCCACAGGAAATCGCTAGTGTTATTATATTTATACAAACTTTCTATTAACATTATTATATTTGTTTATACAATGGTTTTTACCGAAAATGCTGTCAAATACAATGGTTATCAAAAAAAAGACTTAACGACGAACGTTTTTGAAGGTAAAGCGCTATAATGCCATCTCGTGTTAAGTTAAGACCTGTCGACTTTATTATTGTTATTCTTTGTCTTATGGCTTTTAGGCGTGCCAGTAAGATACTGTTCACTACGCCAACATCGCCTGTCAAAAAAACATCTTTAAAAATCTTTAAAAATCATACCGATACGGATACTTTAAACTTTACTTTTCTTAAGCAAAAGTCGTCATTTTTAGCGTTAAATTGGCAGCACTGGCTCTGTTATATCACACTGGACGTCACATTTTTCTGATCAATAGCGTTGCGTTTCAACTACTTAGAATTTCCCACCTATATTTTGCACTTTTTAATAATTATTATTATTTTCTTAATCAACAAGAAATTATATTAAAAATAGTAATAATTTAATGCTGAATAAAATATTTTGAATTTTGAATTAGGTAACGAGTTTGTACTGAGTAGGTTACTGTTACTGATTCCAATATCGCGCCATTTACATTTTCTGAGTGTATACCACAATTTAAATCGGTAAGTTACTGAAATATGTTTTATTAAACGTAAAAATATTAACTATATAACTGTAGAATAAAATAGTTTATTAGTCAACAACTGCATCTGCTTATTTTAATTTTCATTATCATAAATTCTTCATATTTTCAATTTATCTAAAATAACATCTAAAAGAGTCTTTTTATCGGTTTGTTTATATTTTACTTTACGCACAATTGAATAAACTAATGGATTTGGTGTTAAAGAATATACAAGTACACCGTACACAAGATACAAGCAATTAAATAAGCCTGTAACCTACAGGTATAGGACTCGCTACCACGGATACCACTTTTATATCTATACTCTGTCAAATAGGTAGTTCTTACGGACTCACAATACTGACATTAAATTTAATAGTAAAAATTATTTAGAATTCGCATATTTGTATAAAACTAATAAAAAAATGAATAGATTACCTCATCATACACATGCACTTCGTGGTCATAAGTCAAGAGGCCCACATTACTGGTTTTATCTCCCACTTTTGTGATCAATCTTAGACCCTGTTCATTTAACTTTACGTATGCTTCGACACTTTTGACGTCCCCATCATTAACTTGCACTTTGTAAGTGTTGGGTGCGCTGTCGTATGTTACAGCCACCTTTGTGTCTGTAAAAGAAAATACTATTTTATAACATATTAGTGGCTCACGCCTGCTTCGCTTAGATTCGCCTCTAGAAAAACAAATAATTAATCTATCCCACGGAAATCCTACTCTTTTCCGGGATAAAAGTAGCCTATGTGCTATTCCATACTATAATCTATCTCTGTTAAATTTCATCCAGATAGGTTCAGCCGTTCTGGCATGGTTGAGTAACAAACATCCACCTAAACTTTCACATTTATAATATAATTATAGTAGGGGAGCCCACGATGCTAAATGGGGATTTACTCGAGCGTCGTAGAGACCTATTGGGATGCAAAGCTTAGATGATAAGAAGAAAAAAATGTTATATGATATATACCTTTACATCGGTGGGGGAAGCGGCTATAGATTTTTAAATATGTAAAAAAAAACTGTTGCAGACATCCTCGAGCGCGTCAGATATTGATAGCATCAATGCCCTACGTATTTTTAATAATGTACGTATGTTAATCTGATCGTTTGCATGATGCGGGTGGTTGTATTTAAGGGTTGAAAATGAAAAAAAAAAATTTAATCGAGCGCGTCAGATTTTCTAAGGGAGTGTTAAGTGCACCAAAAAAAAGCTCTCATTCACTAATCTGACGATTTCGATGGGACGCAAACTCGCGGCCATTTTCATAATGTGCAAAAAAAAATCGCCATTTTAAAATACTCAAGCGCGTCAGATTAAGATATATATGGTTCATCTTTATGTTCTAAACGTACTGTCTCATAATCTGACGATTATCTAGAGGGATTCGCCTGATCTGACAAAAAAAATTAGAAAAACGGTTCACCTTAAAGGCCATACCTGCAACTTCCCGCTAATTCCATTCCTGGGCGCTTAAAATTGTACTTATGACATTTTTGAGCTCAAAATATAATTTATGTAATATAATTTATGTGATATTTTGAGCTCGCTGAGTTCAAAGAAATAATATTTCTATGCATTTGAGCTCTCCCAGCTCGAAAGTCTGATAGAAGTTTCATAGAACACTATTTTTGGAATTTTCAAACCGCAATAACTTTTGAATAGATCAAGCAATTTTCACGCGGTTGACGCCATTCGACGCAGTTTTATCATCCTCATAAGTTATTTTCAGGTTTTAATTGATCGAACCAAAAATTTCGGAGTAATCCCGAAAAAACACTTTTTTCGGTTTTCTTTCGTTCACGATATCTCTCGAACGAATCAACCGATTTTGACCGGATTAGCAACGATCGGCGTGGTTTTTCTAGCTTAAGGGCGGATTAGTTTTTGAAGTTAATTGATAAAGCCGGTTAAAAGTTATTCCAAAAAAACCACTTTCAAAAAAAAACTTATTTTTTTTAAGATTTTTCAAAATTTCTCAAAATCTATCGGTCCGAATCGGTTCAAATTCACAGGAAATCTAATTTTGAGGGAAATCTTTAGAACGCCGTTTAGTAGATTCCGATCGGTTTAGTCGTTGAAAAGATATAAGCGAGTCACACATACACACACACATACATACATACAGACTAAGTGACAACATCAGACACGGGAGTAGTCAGGGAAGCTTCCTATGACCTTAAAACGTCAAGATCAGATGAAAACTCGATTTTCGAAAAACGGGGTAAAACCAATAACTTCCCGTAAATTTAATTGTTTTTTGTAAGGTACTTTCACCACAAAGTACACATTTCAAATTAATGTCACTCATATTAAATATTTATAAACTTTAATTCACACAAATAATATTAAAATAGCAAAAAAAGCCAAAACGTTGGAAACACGTTGTAAACAGTATGCCACGAACGAGTCTTTATGATCAGCTGTGATAGCGTCATGGCGGGAGAAACCAGAGTGGGGACGGAGTGAGAGAGTAATAAATAGAGAAAGAGTGAGAGAGGAATAGACACGCGGAGAAGGAAATGTAGGCATCACGCAGCTGCACGCATTTAACTTTATCGACGAATTTTTGTTATTTCGGCTTGCGGAAATCGTCACATTATATATTTTTCATTATTCTTGAATTATTTCCTTCAAAATAAAAAAAATTTTAGCTACGCTCGAGAATGTCGAGATGACGTTTTTTTTTACAACTTTGTTGCCCTCCCCTTTTTTTACGTCACTCTCAAATTGTCAGATTAGTGGAATATACACTTTTAGGATGTAAATAACTCACCCTACCTTAATCTGACGCGCTCGAGAATTTTTGATGGTCATTTTTTTTTTACTAATCTGATCCTGTATCCTTCACGGGCGGCCTTATATATGGGCCTCATGTTTTGTGGAGGTACTTAACCGGGTACAAGGTATCCCCCTGTATATTAATCTGCCGCGTTTTAGTAAATCCCGAAATCCCCGCTTGGGCTCCCCTACTATTAGTAAGATTGCAAATGAAAAGGTCTTTTAATATTACACGGTACTTTTCCTATTTTTACTCAAATAACACATTACGTATTATTTATTAATAGTATTTTATATCTAATCTTAGTCATTAAATTAGTTTATACAAGATAGTTTATATTCTCTTGTGTACAAACTAATTGAATGGAGTAATCACATCCATTAAAAAAGCCAATAAACGAACAAATATACATTGATATTTGTAATATCGACCGCCTTTATTGTCTTAATGATTGCTATACATGAGATTATTTTAGTAAGAAAGAATTAAAAAAAAGATTGAAGAGAGAGAGAGAGAAGATTGAGATTTAAAAGCGATAGTGGTTTTTTTAAGAATAAGAGATCAATAAAATGAATAAATATTAAATAAATATTTATTTTATCATCAGAACTCTATCAAAAGACAGCATGATGTCAATACCATGTGTATCTTGTGAGACGCGGGCAAGGCGCTCCCGACTGTCATACTCATTTTTATATGGTAGTTGAGGAACGGCTTTAAGGGTATAAACTACCATGAGATGACCCTACAATGCTATAACCTCGAAACCGTTCGCCATGAAAATTGGTAAATTTTAACAACATTTATTTGGCAGAATTTCCGTGTAAATCAATGGGCGAGTCGCCTACTGTATGGTTTATATTGTGGTAAAGATTAATGATCGACTTAGATAGTAGATACGTCAGAATGGCTTGTGATAGGCACTGCATTCTGAGCCAAAGGCCACTGGTTTGTTATCATGGTGGTGAATGGTTGTATTAATTGTAATTAAGAATAATATCATCTCAATATTGATATTGATAAACTATAACCGCTAATGCGTAATGGATACTATTAATTATTTTGCCCTCTACCTCTTTTCAATGAAATATCTGTTTATGTTGATTTTAGCGCAATAAAGAATATAATATGTAGGGCTGCCAGATAACAGTAGTTGATTTACCCGACCAATAAACCTCAATATACCCATATACATAATATCTGTAGATAAGTTAACTTCGCTATTACGTATCACGTCTCCATTCTCACAGTTGTAGTACACAGAATCTATATTTTTATGTTAGGCTATTTTTCTTGAATTTATCCAAACCTAAGGACAATAGCCTTAATATTACATTTTCTTAGTTATCACAAAATCTTACCATGTTCGTCAAATTTTAAGTTTATTATTTTTTTCAAGTTGTAGTTTGGTCTCCACGCACTAGATGGCACTGAGATTCCTTTCCACAAATCATTTTGTGAAACTTTTATCTGGGATTTGATTAGCTGTAAAGACAATTGAATATATAAATACTTGGTAAATAAGGGTTAAAATAAAATGCTAAACCTTATTTGAATGAGCTGATCTCTGAAATTACCAGATGGATTTGAAAAATTTTGTAATTCTTAAATAGTGATAGCATATAGAAAATTAACCTTATTAAATCAAGTATCGTTGTTTTATAAAAAGTTCGTTTTTTTATAATAATTTATCCTGAATGTAAATTTTAATTTAATATTCTGGATTTTAATTATACATTTTGGAATACAAAAGTTTGAAGCGAATCGTCTAATAAAGATAAAAAGTTACGAGTCAACAAACCGGTATCGTAGGTATAACACTGCACGAAAAAGCTGGCAGCATTATTTGTACATGACATTTGCATATGTCAATTTAGTCTCTGGGATTAAAAAACAGACTATAGTTTATAATCAAACATTTCCTTACATGTCCCAGTGCGGCTTGAATAGCGTGTTCCTGACTCAGGCGGGAGTCGGTCTGCGGGAACAGCTCGGTCTCGTGTTGCGGGATGAAGGCGGTGTGCACGTCGCCGGCCACGAACGCGCTCGCGCCGCTCAGACGCAGGAGGAAGTTCACGTTTGTTTCTAGACCTGCCACCTGTTGTAATATTAATAACACTTCTAATTTTCTCAAAAAGTACTGCATTCAGCCCTTTTTAACGTCCCACTGCTGGGCACAAGCCTCCTTTCAAGACGAGGGGGATTTATCACGCTGGCACGCAAATGCGGGTTGCCGGACTTCACATGTCTTTCGAAAACTTGCTAGGTTCTCTCAGACATGGAGGTTTGTACAAAATTCTCGTGTCACAGTGTTTGTAGCAAAACTCCTTCGAAACGGCTGACCAATTCTTATGAAATTTTGTGTGTACATTCAGTAGATCTGGGAATAGGACATAAACTATTTTTCATACCCCAAAGTGATAAGGGTGGTCCACCCTAGGGACAAATTGAGCGGACCGAGGGTGAGTCGCTAGTAATATTATAGAGATAATTTTAAATATTATTTATTGAAAGTATGAAGTAAATTTTAAATAACTAATTCAAACCAAGTGATTTTAGATTTATTATTACTACACTATACCAAGTATAAAAAAAATACATAACAATTTTCTAGAATTTTAATACCTTTTTTCTTTTTTTTACATGCATTTTTAATATTCATAGTCTATCTACTTACTTGATATTCAGATAGCTTTCGTCTTGTTACAGCCAACGCTTCATTCCTGTCTTGGCCCCATACAACAAGCTTTGCTATCATGGGGTCATAGTGAACTGATACTTCTTGGCCTTCTCTTACTCCAGTTTCTACCTAAAATATTAATATAACGCTTTAATTATATTATGGAAACAAATAAAAACAAAAAAAAAGAATAATAATCTTTAGAAATATATTACTGTAACAGCCTCACTCACTATTGCTTACAACAAAAATAATTCTTGCTCACATTAAGTTGCAAAACTATTAGAATATTTTCTTTAAGTATAAGAGAACATTTTATCATTTGTTTGTCATCAACTAGTGTCACAGTACAATAGTGTAAAGTACTGCTTTGTATGAACAACTGACATGGGATGAGTGAGCTCTCAACGTGGACACTTTTCTGCATGATCCACACAGTACAACAAATGTAATTTGCGATTTTATTTTGATGTTTGGTTTCCGACGTTTTGTATGTTTTACAGCAATCATTTTTTAAGACATCTAAAGGTCATCATACAGTTGTTACAGATAGTATTTATCCATATTTTAAAAATCCAAAAATGACACCAAAGTATATTATATTATTTGTTAATTTTAATTTTAAACTTTCTTTATTCTTTCCTTCCAAAAGTGAACTTACTCGAACATTCTCTTCGGGCTTGGGCTGTCTAAGTCTATGCAAAGTCCCGGCTCTGGGTAAGAACCCAGCACGCGGTTCCTCAGCATATATCCTGCACTCCACAGCGTGTCCACGACGCGTGATCTGGTCTTGTGTCATTGGTAGGGGCTCGCCTGCCGCTACACGGAGTTGCCATTCTACTAAATCTGTACCTGTAGCGAAAGATAAAGTTAATTAATGTTAGAAATGTGCAAATTTGTGAAGATATTTGAACTGACTGAACTGCCTGACTGACTCAATGTGGAACGAATTTAGATGAGACCCAGATCGTTTTGATTTAGTATTACATAAAATGTATGTATTTTATCGTGGTAGCATATTGCAATTTTAACGTTACAAGTACAATTAAGCGTTAACGTTATAAATACACGATGCTGTGCAATTATTTTGAAAGAAAAAAAAACAATTTTCAAGTGGTGGAAGCCTCGGTCATCATAATTACGGTAAGTCTTACTGTTCATCAAGTTAATTAAACGAAGTGACTGTACGCCCGATCCACCGGTCCACGGGAAACTTTCCCGTAACTGAACCATGGATTTATTAAATTTAATTCAAGCTTTTAGATCCACGGCAAAAATTCCCGTGCTTCTCAGAATTTTTACATTTTACATTTTACTATAAAAAAGTTCTCAAAAACAAATTGTGTTAAAGTATTGAGAATGAGAACTAACCAGTTATCATTTCAGTGATAGGATGTTCCACTTGCAATCGTGTATTCATTTCCATAAAGTGAAATTCATGTGTCTTTCTATGGAGGATGAACTCTACAGTGCCGGCGCCCACGTACCCAACAGCTTTGGCAGCTCGCACCGCTGCTTCACCTATCGATTTACGAGTTTCTTCGGACAAACCAGGCTATAACATTAATATATTAATTTAAAAACATATTATTTATAATTAATCACACTAATATTTTTATTGTGAAAGTTTGTCAGTGAATGTGTATTTGTGATTTTTTCATACTCTAATTTACAGATTTAATACTTTAAAACAGTGCTCTAACTGGGATTTGTGTAGTTAGGAAAAGTAATAACTATTTAACCGGTTTCCGAGCCCTGCTTATATCAGTGTGAAAAAATATGTCTTAGCAATAGCATTCAAGACAATTTAAAGTTTTAAATGCTCATAGAGATTAAAAAGTTAAAATACATCATATTAGCGCTTACTTTCGCGTCGCTCAGATGCGTCCCTAGGTGCCTATCTGTAGCCTAATGGTTATTCCAGAGTATAGTTTATCTACATCTGTAAAGCCATTTCAACATAAAGGAGTAGCAAACATATACATACACACATGCAAATTCTTTCGACTTACAACATACAAAAAAATCAACAAAGAAATTTTATACACACATACAAACAATATTTATAATAACAGTTTAATTAAGCAACTAAACATACAGCAGGTGCTTCTTCAATGATTTTTTGATGACGTCTTTGTACTGAACAATCTCTTTCAAATAGATGTACTGCATTTCCATACATATCAGCAAAAACCTGCAATCATTAAAAATTATAGTTCTAATAATATTCACAAAAAATATTTGCTCTCAAAGTGAAATTATAGTTAATAATATATAGTATATACATTATACATAAAGAAATAGTAATCTTATTCAATTGTAAATGTATAATTTTTTTTTTATTAGTTCCACATTATACCATAAAGTAATTACAATTAAAATATAATGAGTTTCTCATGTAATTATAAAAGAGTGCTACATATAATCTATGTAGGAATGATTAAAAAACAAGTTCATACAAGAAACTCGACTTAATTAATTAAAACAGCTCAGAAGGGTTTTCCAGGAAGACAAATATTTGGCAATTAACAATTATATTTCTCGCTCTTTCTGTATACTCATTTTACATTTATATTTTATATTCCTAACTCATATATTGCGAATCACCGACTGTCCACTTGACATATCAAAAATCTATATTCAAAATCTACGAACTGGCACATAAAATAACTGAATGTTACAGTCGGCCATCCGTTACAATAACGAGTCCCTTCGTTTTAGGTCACACTAAGTCAAAAAAAAGGTTTCACAATTCATTACAATTCACTCATCTTACATTAAAAAAAGTTTGTTGAATCCTGCTACTCTCTATTTCTATCTCTAATCTGTTTCTTCTTAACAATAATCAAATATGCTGTTAGATTTTTATCGGTAAATGTATCTTCAGTAGAGGCGTGCACCCAGTGGTACAATCCTCATCTTCACTCTGTGAATCTAGTCGCTAGGTTCGATTTACTATTTCTCTTAAGGCGAGAGAATCTTAGACTGCCCACCCCGTACAGCTCGGCAGCTAATTTATTTATATGTCGGTCCAATCTGGCTTGATAATTATTGCTGTTTAACTCGACATCTTCCTTCACTATTTGCAGATTGAAATCTAGGTTAACATATTTATTACTTATATTTGGTGGAACATTGATCATGGTTCTCATTGTTTTGCTCTGAAACCTTTCGAGTATTTCAATATTACTATGGCTGGCTTTACCCCAGAGCTGAATGCCACAACTCCATATAGGCTTTCCGCTTTAGTATAGCTTTATAGGTATTAGATAGCCATTTTACTGTCATTTGCCAACGATGACTTACAACTGATGAGCCCATATATGCTGCGGAATTTGTGTCTAGCTGTTTCCTTTTAGTCCATATGTGTTTGCGCCAAGTGAGTCTACGGTCGAGATGTATACCTAAGTATTTGGCGTCATCAGATTGTGGGATCTCTCCTTCACAGAAGGGTAGGTTTTCCTTCTAAATGTGTAAGTTACTAGAATCGGTTTATTTGTATTGGCTTTAATGCGCCACTGCTGGAACCATGCTTCGATGAGAGTCAGGTGTGATTGGAGTCTTACAGATCGGGTCTCAGGAATCGGGATTCTCATGGGTCGAAAGAAGTGAGGTATCATCTGCGTATGTCGCTGTAATGGTATTGGCGTAGAGGGTAGATCTGATGTAAATATTAAATAAAGAACTGGTCCCAGCATGTTACCATGACCTAAGGTATTTCTCTATTTTATTTTCTAGATTTTGATTGTTGCTGGGGAGTGGTTCGAAGACTGTATGTAAGTGATTAGCGTCGATCTTAGTTTTTTTTCACAGTCTGAGCGGACACAAGAACCCGTTTGTGTTCTCAATGGTGTACTTTGTTGTTTTGGACGCTTTAGGATTCTGGTAGGCTTCCACAACGAATAGTTCGGGTCACTAGTATGTGTCAGTCTTGCGAGATATGATTGTAGGTTCTCATTTTCCACATCTTTGGTTAGTGTCTTTAGTTCTTATGAGGCTTTATTGAAGGCTGTCTTATCTCTAAGATAGTGGGTGGTGTGCCATACTCCCCGGAGTCTACGTCTTTTGTTGATACAATTCTTAATGAACGCGGGGTATACATGTTCTTTTGTAGTTCCCGCTTTATGATGGGATGTAGATCTGTTCGGTACGTCATGAATCAATTGGTTTAATCCTTCTATGGCCTGATGAAAAAAAGGTCATTGTGAGTCACGGGTAGGCTTTAAATATACTAGAGGAATTACTCGTATTCTTTCACTACCATTTTGCTTTATGTTTCATGACATAATCCCTATAGTTCTCCTATCACTACAACTCAACATGAGAATAGTTACTTCTATTCTTTCACTACTATCTTGCTTTAAATCTCAGGGCATAATCGCTATAGCTATCCTGTCACTATAACTTGATAAGAGGATAGTTACTTCTATTCTTTCAAATAAAATTTTCCGTAGATATTTTTAATATACTTTGGACTAATCCACGTACATCTTAACTAATAATCACACTATTTTTTATTTTTTTTCATATTATTCAACTTAATACACAATTACCTCACAAATTGAAACATATTTTAGGATTTGAATCCTTTCACTGAAAAAAAATCATATAAATTACAAAATAATATAACCTTCAAATTGTCAGATGATCCGTGGGTGTTGCAAAAACAGTATATTTTTGCAGTCATCCCACTTCTGAGCTAAAACAGCTCAGAAGGGTTTTCCAGGAAGACAAATATTTGGCAATTAACAATTATATTTCTCACTCTTTCTGTATACTCATTTTACATTTATATTTTATATTCCTAACTCATATATTGCGAATCACCGACTGTCCACTTGACATATCAAAAATCTATATTCAAAATCTACGAACTGGCACATAAAATAACTGAATGTTACATAATACTTTTTTAAATTTATTATTATGATGTTGATAATATATTCATTAATATCCATTGATATATAAAAACATAGATACACATTTTCTAACAAATATCTCTGCAAAAAGTGGTGTCAACATATGACATTAAGTCACACTAAAGAATAAAATTCAAAAAATCGAAACAACAATAATTTCATAGAGTTTCAATTTTGTTATCCAAAAAGCAATGAACAAAAGAGATTTGAAAAAATGCACAATTGCAAATTGAGCACTTCTTTTTGAGGATATAATTTTATTATAGTTTCGACTTAATTTTCTATATTGGATAGAAAATTTATTTACCTGGACTTCCACATGTCTGGGATCTGTAATGTACTGTTCTAAGAGCATGTTGTCATCACCAAATGATTTAAGAGATTCTCGTTTTGCAGATTCCAACTGTGGCAAAAAATCTGATTCTGTCATGGCTATTCTCATACCCTGAAATATAAATCAAAATCTGAATAAGCTAAGAGAATAAAAGGCAGAATACATGACAATTTTTTTTAAATATTAATTGTAACATAACATAATTATGTAACATTTAAAGTTTAGGAAAGTAATTTTTAATCAAAGAGGGAATTACATATATATCTAACCTTTCCACCACCTCCTCGCACAGCTTTAATCATTAAAGGAAAACCAATTCTCTTTGCTTCTTCTTGAAGTTTCTCTATGCTTTGGTCTTCTCCATGATATCCTTTTACTATTGGAACACCAGCACTGAACATTATTGCTTTCGAAGTACTATAATATTAAAAATGTGAAAGTAAATATTTGTTAAAAAATTGACAGGTATAAGCATTATGTAAATAGTTATGGGAATTTTATTATAATATTTACCTCTTAATGCCCATATCTCTTATTGCAGAAGTTGGTGGTCCAATAAAAATAACACCATTATTAGCACACTGTTCACAGAATTCCACATTTTCTGACAGAAAGCCATAGCCAGGATGAATTGCATGGCTATTGGATTTTTTTGCAACTTCTAGAATTTTTAATGCATTTAAATAGCTTTGAGTTGAAGGTGCTGTCCCAATATGGTAGGCTTCATCTGCCTAAAAAATTAAATGTTTAGCAATAAACAAAATAATGACTAAATAATGTTTTTAATAATGAGATGATAGCTAATATGACTTTAAAAAATACAATTTCGTGGTAATTTACCATTTCAACATGCATAGCATTTTTGTCAGCATCAGAATATACTGCAACTGTTGTTATTCCTAGTTTTTTAGCTGTTTTCATAACCCTACATGCTATTTCTCCTCGATTTGCAATTAACACTTTATCTATATGCTGTTTCTGAATTTTGGGCTTTAGCTGTTGAGCATGACTAAATCTTAAGCTATACTGGGCATTAATAGATGAACTGAAACATCCAAAAATACATTAATTAAATCATATTTGATATTACACATTTTAATATTCAATGAAAGGAGCTTAAAAACTTACCAAATTTTATTTAGTTTATTCAAATATGACATAATGGCGAAGTAATTATTCCCAATTTCATTAAATCAAATCTTATTTAACGTTATCGCTAAGTACATAATTATTACAGATAACAATTTTTGGTTGCCGAGCCCCTTCACCATGTAGAAAAGTAACTTTTCGATAACGTTTAATACATGAGCAATGTGTGCAAAGAGTGACGTTATTGTTGAACATGACAAAAACTTAGTTTTGCTTATCAGTGATCTCCTAATTATTTATTCAAGAATTAATTGTTATTGTTATTATCGTTGATAATCATTCAATTTCGAACCATGGACGACAATTGACAAATTTAGAAAAACGGCAATGTCCACTTTGACAGATTTCAGTCATATTTCTCGATGGTACCGTCTAAAAAAATTTTATTGCTGTGATGAATGTGTACGAAATATTATGAATGTGTGGCCAGAGGTCCAAGAGGTTGAAATGGGGAAGATTTCTTGAAAGAAGGGTGCCACACGTATCGGCTATTTATATTCAGCCTGAGGCTAAGCAAGATAATATTATTTATTATAAAGGCTTTCTAACTAAATTTACGTAAAACATGAATTTAACATATTTTTTTTTTAAATCATTTTTTGGTTCTATTGTGTTCGCATCTTATCTGTGCAATGTATTGTATTGTACCTGGAAGTTAAATGAGTTAGAGAAGTGAGAAAGGTGCATCCCTCGGTGGTCCTAACTGGTGGATCAACCACAGCGTAAACCGCTGGTCGTAGAAACGTGAAATTTGGAGGACGAATTCCTTATATGATGTAGGCATCCGATAAGAAAGATTTTTTTGCCGCACTTTGGCGCACAATGCCGAAGTGCGCTAATGCATAATTGGAACGTGAATTAGTTTTCAAGTGTACCAGCATAGGGCACTAGGTTCAGTGTTGAAAGAAAAATATATAAGTAAAAAATACATAATCATATAACTAAAATATAAACAAATATTACTAAAGATAATGTAAATAAAATGTTGATCAATGAGTTACGGAACACTAATCCCACGAATATGCTGACGTATCAAATAAATGTACGTTTCCCAGGCGACCACCGCCGAGTTCCCCGAATTAGTTTTGTAATGCCGCATTGTTTTAATTTAGTAATTTTATTAATTGTAATACTTTTCCAATCACTCTTTATTCATACTTCGAGTAAAGACGTCGTTAGTTTTAAGATATATAATTATTGTATTAATGTAAAATTAATAAATAATTATTAATTATTCGGTTTTTTTTCGACCTCCTGACTGCTGCAAACGTAATTGGCGCAGTCGGTAGGATTTTCGCGGGCCGGTTCGCGATCGGTCTAAATTAATTACTCGATAATTATCATCGCGTCGCGTGCCGCCCGGGTGACAAGCACCGTTCGAGAATCCAGAATCTACGGACCTGTGGCAGCCGGGAGTGGAATCTAACAATCGATTCAACTGAAAAGAGACCAGATAATGCAGTTTATGTGAGTACATAAGAATTGTTCACGTGTTGCTCCTTTCTAGACCTAAGCCTATCCATAAGCTACCAAAATTTTCCATCCTAAAGCAACTAGGATCCGAGAGCCTCAATCTAGGCAGGCCCGTCGGTTAGGTATAGATAGCATAAGAAATATTAATTCGGAAGAAATTATAAATTCAAATTTAGGTTGTAGTCCTTCTAATTTAATTAATTTACTTAATATGTCTCACGATCCGGATATCATATTTAAGGCCCTCCGCCTTGTCCCGGAATTCGACGGGAACCCAAATGTTTTAACTAGATTTATCCAAATTTGTGACCATTTAGCGATCCAATATCTAAGCGACTTACCAGGTAGTGAATTTTCTAACATTTGCCTATTAAATGGAATTTTAAATAAAATAACAGGAACAGCAGCAAGCAAAATTAATTCAAACGGAATACCCGACAGTTGGCTAGGAATTAAAACACTTTTAATTAATAACTTTTCCGATCAAAGGGATGAAACCGCCCTATACAATGATCTCTCCTTAGCCACACAGAGTAATAGAAGCCCTCAAGAATTCTATGACCATTGTCAAAATTTGTTTAGCACGTTAATGACGTACGTTACACTGCATGAGACACTATCCACCACTATCGAAGCAAAACGCGATTTGTATAAAAAAGTAACTATGCAGGCCTATGTTCGTGGTCTTAAGGAACCATTAGGGTCCCGCATTCGTTGTATGCGACCACTAACAATAGAAAAAGCTCTTGAATATGTACAGGAAGAACTGAATACTATGTATATGCACAGCCGTTACGAGGTTTCAAAATCTAACAAAACCGTAACCACTATACCTAACGCTACTCACCACACATTCACACCACGCATATTTCCACCAAGTATAGGACAGACACCATCTAGACCTAACACACAGCCTTTTAAATTTAACAATGAACACCAGCACCCTTTTTTTTTTTTTTTTTTGTTTTTTTTTTTTTAACGTTGGGAAATGCATTTACGCACGACGTGTGGGACTCACCGGTGTAATACAGCCAGTACTACCCACTAAAACCCAACAAAACCTTCCCCCGTCTTAATGGGGCGTCGCAGGATCGCTTACGCATTCAACTACGACGCCCCGACGGCAGGTCTGCCGAAGCAGACCACCACAACCATGGGGTTGCTCCACAGTCCACTCTGCTACCAGAGAAGTACCAGGAGCAACCCGCATGGTGCACCGCCCCCCGAAGAGGGCCACCTCCCACCGCCCACCGAAGTGGGCAACCTCCCTGTGCGTTTCTTAGCTTCGCGCCCGATTGGATTGCCGGGCATTACTGAGCCCCCCCACCACGACAAGGTGAACGCACGTTGGGGGGGGGGGAACACCAGACAACCCACCCTAGACAACCCACGCACACACAAAGAATGTTCGGTGCACCACCTCCGAACTACAACCCTAACAGTCACATGTTTAGGTTACCACCTCGAAATAATATTACACACAGGCCTAATCAAGGCAATGGATTTCCCAGACCTATGAGTGGCGTGAGCCATTTTGCGCCTCGACCACTGCCACCAACACAACATACGCTTACAGGACATAATTGGCAAAAATACGGTAACCCTCCCCCAAGAAATTATTTTAAATCAAGAGAAATGAATTTTAATATTTGCGAAGACGATTACGACCCGTACGATTATTACACAGACTTTGAATCTTATTACAACAGTGACGAATACATGGAATATCCCTATGACTATGAGACTTATTCCCAAAACTATAACGATAATCCCACTACGTCACGAATAGAAACCAATAACGATAGTACACTTGACAATACTGAACAGGATTTTCAGAAAATTTCCAAATCCGACACCTTAAAATAGAAATAAATCTACATACACAACGTCACCTTCCATATATTCAGATATTATCACCACCATTAAAATTATTAATAGATACGGGAGCCAACCAATCCTTTTTAAGTCCAGCAGTTGTAGAAAAATATTTGTATAATTTTCCTTTAAACTACGATCCGTTTGAAGTATGTAATGTTCATGCCAAAACTAGAAGTAACTATTCAATAACTATACCAAGCTTTAATGAATTTAACGACCCGAATAATATAACATTTTATGTATATAAATTTCATGACTTTTTCGATGGACTTATAGGAACTGACTTATTAGACAAATGGGAAGCAGTAATAGATTATAAAAATAAAACTTTAATTACCAAAACTGCTTCAAATCCCATATACGTACACGATTCCCGTAATCAAAATTTATACGAAGATATAATTCCAGCAGGTCAATCGAAATTGTTAAAAATCCCTATTAATATGCATGACGGCGAAGCATACGTAAAAGAACAAAAAATTTCAAATTGCGTAATTAGTGAATGCCTTACGTCAGTCAAAAATAGCAGGGGTATTGTAGAAGTTAAAAATCCCAGTAGGAATGATGTAATATTTTCAATGGACCGAGCCGTCTCTGCTGAAATTAACAATATAAATTTCACTTGCACTGAACAATCCCGACGTGTAAAAGACGTTCTGACACGACTTCGTACAGAGCATCTTAACGTTGAGGAACGTAAAAACTTAGAACTATTGTGTACCCAGTACGCTGATGTATTTTATCTAGAAGGCGAACCCCTTACATTTACAAATAAAATAAAACATTCAATTAAAACCACCGATAAAGTCCCCGTTCACACGAAAAGCTATAGATACGTTCATAGACAGGAAGTACAGGAGCAAATAGGTAAAATGCTCGATCAGGGAATAATAAGGCCCTCTAAATCGGCTTGGAGCTCACCTATTTGGGTTGTGCCAAAAAAGGTAGACGCATCTGGTAAAAGAAAATGGCGAATAGTAGTTGATTTTCGCAAATTAAACGAAAAAACAATAGATGACAAATATCCAATCCCTAACATAAATGACGTATTAGAAAATTAGGAAAATGCCAGTATTTTACAACTTTAGATTTAGCTAGCGGATTTTACCAGGTACAGACAGATCCTCAAGACATACATAAAACAGCATTTAATGTCGAGCATGGACATTATGAATTCCTTCGTATGCCCATGGGATTAAAAAATTCTCCGGCGACCTTTCAGCGAGTAATGGATGATGTGCTGAAAGGCCTATAAAACTCTATTTGTCTAGTTTATATGGATGATATTATTGTCTATAGTACATCCCTACAAGAGCATATAGTAAATTTACGAAAAGTTTTTCAAAGACTCCGCGAATCTAACTTTAAAATCCAAATGGATAAATCGGAATTTTTAAAACATGAAACAGCTTTTCTAGGCCATATTATAAGCGCGGACGGAGTAAAACCTAACCCCGAAAAAATAGCTGCAATAGAGAAATACCCCATACCAAAAACACCAAAAGAAATAAAACAATTCCTAGGCTTAGTTAGTATCCAACTATCGTAAATTTATTCCGGACTTTGCAAAACTAACAAAACCTTACACAATGCCTAAAAAAAAGTAGGAAAATTATTTTAAATGATGAATATATATCAAGGTTTGAAAAATGTAAAACAG